CTATTGTGTACAGAACTGTTCGTCTTGAGCAAGTCTCTGATGTAAATCGGAACATCGCCTTTAAGGCTCTTAAAAATCATTGTACATTTATTTAATTTGATTTCATCAAAAAAGGGCAACCAGCATAGTTTACTAAAGTTTACAACACTTCTAGAATAAGAGTCCACTCCAAGAATTACTCGGGCAGCCCTTTTCTGTAACCTTAGGGGACAGTGGAGTTCTTTAGCGTCACAGATATTCCAAACCATGCTCCTGTACATAAGGACCAGTTTATAATCAAGGCGTTATAGTATGGGAGTCTTTCCTTTTTTAGAAGGTATCTCTTTATCTTTTTCAATAAACCAACACGCTGAGAAAGCTTGGCCTTTAGGCTAGAAATGTGGTTACTAAATGTAAGATCTTGATCGACTGTTACACCAAGCAATTTATAGGAAGTTACTTGTTCTATTTCGGCCCCATCAAGGGTCACTGACAGGTGATTGCCATCAGCTAATGATGAATGTAGCCTCTTTCCGGTGATAAGTAATGCTTTGGTTTTAATGGCGTTTAGGACCATCCCATTTTCGCTAGACCATTTACTTAATTTATCCATGTATTCTTCAAGATGTTGTTCCAATTCCAAAGGTGCGTTATCGATATTAGCGCTGGCTTTAATGTCAACCGCGTAAGCATGAAAAGTTGAGTCCGATCCAACAGCTTCGGGAAGATCGTTGATGAAAATTAAAAACAGTAGAGGTTCAAATATGCTACCTCGAGGAACTCCATTGGTTAGCATAAGTTGTGATGAAGTCGAGTTATTTACAGTAACACACTGTTTGCGATTGAGTAGATAGGTCTGCAATAGCTTTACAACATTATCTGGAAATCCACGATCTTAACTTTACCAGGAGAATGTCATGATTAATTAAGTCGAATGCCTTGCTATAGTCCACAAAAACTAAGCCGCTGACGTTGTTTTTATCAAGGTCAAGAAGGACTTGGTCCAGAAGAAACAACAAAGCAGTATCCGTGGAGTGGTTTTTACGGAACCCTGATTGGAAGCGGTATAAAAGTAAATTTTCTGTTAAGTAGGTGTTCACAGCATTGAAGATGTGTCTTTCAAAGACTTTAGAAAGAATAGGCAAAATACTACTAGGACAATAGTTTTGAATATCTTGTTTGTTTCCTTGATTCTTGAATAGAGGTTTAACCTGTGCTATTTTCCATTGTGAGGGAAATGTACAAGTTTCAATACAGTGATTTATAATTTTAGCTATGGAGTATGATATTTCAGGAGCTGCAATCCTTAGAACTCTGGCACCAAGCCCATCAATTCCCATGGCTTTGTGTGTAGGTATACTTAGGAGAAAATCGTTAACCTCACTAGGAGTTATTAGCGGAATAAAATTCTCAATTTGACTGTTAGATTTGTCTGGTGGACCAGGAAGAGCATCATAATGAAGTACAGGTGTCGCCTTTATGAGACGTTTAAATACATCAACGAAGAAGCGGTTAAAGTGGTCAGCGATTGAATGGTCATCCTTTATCAAGTTGTTGTTTTCGTCAGCATTAGAGACGAAGTTGTCATTATTCTTTGTATCTTTGGATAGGTCTTTAATTAAAGACCAAAGTTTCTTTGGAAATGTTTGATTTTTACTGAACTGAGTTTTAAAGTACTGTTCCTTTGCATTTCTTGGTTTCCTCGTCACTTTGTTTTTAACCAGTTTAAAAGCAGACCAATCTTGCTCATTTTGNTACAAGAAGAGTTTACACCGAAATTAGTCAGATCCAACGTATCCAAAACGTCATTCGGCTTAGCAGCCAAGCCTGCAATATCCATGGATACCCGGATATAACATCCCATCCTAACCTATTTAAAGTTCAAAGTCCACTCTAACAACGCAACTTAACATAGAAGAACTAAAACAATGTTCTAGTCATAAACAAAGTCAGCATCTCTCTTTGGCTTTGGTGTTCGAGTTGAACGTCTCAATTCCATTGCTGAGTCGGGAGGACCACTATCTGCGGGATTCCTATCATCCGAGACTGTAGATCCGAGTTGATCCAAAGGAGGCATCGCTGCCCCAGCGAACTCTTCCGACTCCAAGCAGCCGTTGTCATTGTCATCATTAACTGGTAGCTCCATGCGTGGAACTCTACTAAGAAACTTCACATTACGAGTGAGATGTTGTCCAGTCTCAGCATTGACAAGTTCAAAAGTATCTGGTCCTTTGCTACGAACAATGACATACTTCTGATGACCAAACGTGGGAATCAATTTTCCAGATTTTGTATTTGCTACAAATACAATATCCCCAGGTACTAGGTTATGTTGTTGTGCATGTCGCTTGGCATCAGTATACTCACATAACTTCCTCTGGTATTCCTTGTACCTCTCTTCAGGGTTGTTCTGATCCATTTCTGGTACTGTTGGCAACTTTGTTGTTATCTCTCTGTTGAGAAACAGTTTAGCCGGGGTCATGTTAGTCCCGGCATGTGGAGTGGATCTGTAAACTTGCAGGATTGTGGGCAGAACCTCTGTCCAGGATAGACCATCTAACTCTGCTGCTCTGATACTGTGCTTTAGGTACCTATGAAATCTTTCGACCTGCCCATTTGCTTGTGGAAAATAGGGTGATACTCTTCTGTGCTGTATTCCATTTGCCTTCATGAAGTCTTGGAATTCCTCAGCTACGAACTGACGTCCATTGTCCGTGATCAGAACTTTTGGATTTCCAAATCGTGCAAATATATCTGCAAGTGCAGTGACTATACTCTCACTTGTAATACGCTTAAGAACAATAGCCTCGGGCCATTTGCTTCTGTAATCAACAACAGTCATGATGTAGATCTCTCCAGGAAATGGACCCACCAGGTCAAGGGCACACTTCTCCCAGCAGTAATCGGGAAGAGGAGTTGCTGTATTAGGTGTGTCTCGTCGTAGTGGCTGAAGGCGCACACATGTCTCGCAATTTCGGCAGTAGTCTTCAACGTCAGAGTCCATCCCCGGCCAGAACAGAATTCTACGAAGGCGTTGCTTGCAACGCACAATACCTTGATGAGCCTCATGTGCCAAGGTCAATGCCTTTTTTCTCAACTTCTCAGGAACATAAATTCGTCGACCTCGCCACAGTAGGCCCTGTGCAAAGCTCAGTTCATCTTTAAAATGTTTCCATTTATTATTTACCAGGTTCTGGGTTCCATCAAGTACCTTCACCACCTCTAGTAATTCAGGGTCAGACTCTCCAGCCTCTTTTATTTCATCAATTGAGAGCAAAGCATCAGCACTTTTGACAAAGTGTACATGCTCCTCAACAAAACTTGTTTCTGTAACAGTAGCGTTCAAAGGTAATCTTGACAGTCCATCTGCAATGTTCTCAGATCCAGGATCATGAGTGAGTGTGAAGTCATAGTCCTGACATCTCAAAGCAATCCGTTCCAGGCGAATTGATTGAGTGTTTTTATTGAATACGCCAAGCAGTGGTTTATGATCAGTTGAGACGACAACGTGGCGACCATAAATGTAAGAATGCATCTTCTGCAATCCAAACAGCACAGCCATTGCCTCTCATTCGATCTGTGAATATCTCTTCTCTGCAGCAGTTAGAATTCTGGATGCATAAGATATGGGCTGCCAACGGCTGTCAACATTTTGCAGCAAGACACACCCAAGACCAACTGGGCTGGCATCTACTATAAGTTTGGTCTTGGCCTCCAATGAGTAGTGTGCAAGGCATAGTGCTTTAATCAGAAGCTCTTTAACTTCCTCAAAGGCTTTGAATTCTGCTGTACTCCATTTCCACACCACACCCTTCTGCGTAAGATATCGTAAGGGAGTGATCACTGTTGCAAGGTTGGAAACAAACTGTGTAAGGTATGTAATACTTCCCAGAAATGATCTCAGTTCAGCTTAGTTTTGAGGTACTGGTGCATCTGCAATGGCTTTTACCTTGTCAGGGTCAGGCTTAATGCCCTCAGCAGAGATGATGTGTCCTAGTAATTTCAGCTCACACATGCCCAAGGCACACTTGTCTGCACTGAGACGAAGGCCACAGTCTTGAAGTTTATCCATAACTGCATGAACATTCTTCCAGTGTTCTTCTGGTGTTGACCCTTACACCACAACATCATCAAAGTAGCTAAGCACACCTGATAAGCCTTCACACACTATGCTCATGACCCTTTGGTACACCTCTGGTGCTGACGCAAGTCCGAAGGGCAGCCTTTTGAACTGATACACTTTACCTGCGGCTATGGACGATGTAATTTCTCTAGATTCTTTCGCTAGGCGAACCTGCCAATATGCTTTCCTTAGATCCAGAGTCGAAAACATCCGAGCCCCACTCAGTTGCCGTAACAGGTCTTGGATTCTAGGAATTGGAAACCGCTCTCTTATCACTGCTTTATTAGCTTCCTTAAAATCAACGCACACTCTCAACTCTCCATTCCCCTTGTAGACAATCTGCACAGGTGATATCCACCATGCCCCTGCCGCTTCTTCAATCACATCTTCTTGGATCATTCACTCTATTTCTTGTTTCAATCTCTCCTCTAAGGGTGCTGGGACTGGCCTTTGTTTTTGTACGTTGGGAGGGACATCTTAATTGGTTTTAATTTTGTACTCATAATTCTTAAAGTCTCCGAGCTCTTCCTTGAAGAGATTTTCATACTCCTGATAGGTCTTCTCCCTCGTCTTGGTTGGGCTCTCCCCTACTGCATGGATTTTACAAGGTTGAGGGTGGACAGGGCACTTCTTCCCAACAGGGGGGGGACCTTCCACATCGATCACATACACTGGCTCCATTACTTCCATCTTATTGCATCTCAGTTTAGCATCAAATACTCCTAAACACTTGAGGTCTCCTCCACCAAAAGCTGAGAACTTGACATTGGTTGGGTTAAGAGGAATGTTCAGGTTGTTTCTAAACCACTGTTTCGGGATCAAGGTTTTAGCACAGCCAGTGTCAATCATCATTTGAACAAGTTTACCATTGATTTCAACATCAGTTTCAACACCCAGCCCCTCATTATTAGTAGTATACAAAACATATTCAGGGTTAGACTTATCTGACTGTTGCTGGACTGGCTGGACAAACTTTACATCTTCTTTATTCTCTGATTCTCTTGATCTGCAATATTTCCAAAAGTGACCAGTCTTCTTACATTTTATGCACTGTGCATTCCTAGCTTTGCACCTTTCGTTATTAGCAAGATGATCCGTTTTTCCACATCGAAAGCAGGCTTTTTCTTTCGCTTTATTTACTGAAGATCTTACCGCATTAACATCAGATTTTCCAGGAACGTTTTGGGCCCCGTGACCCCCAAGTAGCTGTGTATCCTTCTTTGCAGATTCAATTGCTCTCCCGAGCGTCTGGGCTTTTTCCAGTGTAAGAGTCTCTCCTTGTTGTAGTAGCTTTTCTCGTAGATATCCGTCAGAACACTTCTCTATAACTTGACCAAGAATATTATCATCAGTTGCTTCCCCAAAGTCGCATGTTAAACTCAGCATACGTAACTCTGCAATGAAGGTATCAAGTGATTCATGTTGAAGTTGAGCACGTTTTCGAAACTTGTGCCTCTCTGCCCACTTGTTTCTCTTCGGCTGAAAATGTGCACTCAACGCTTGTTTAACTTCCTCAAATTTCTTGTTCTCTCCCGGCAAACCTGAGAGCAAACGCTGGACTCCCGTCCCCGCAAGATGTAGAAGAGTAGCTTTTTGAACGTCGTCGCTTTCCTTATCTAATTTCGTAGCAATTCGGTAGTTGTCGAAAGCATCGAGCCAAAACTTCCACTCATCCGCCAAGTTTGTCGCCTCTAAATTAACTGGTGACAACGAAAACCTTTCAAAACTCATCTTGGCCTGTTATCCGATTGTCTTTTATCCTCGTCGCCAATTTGTAGTGTCGCAAAGTCTTTAATTGTAACGGAACAGACTCCAATATACAAGAAGAGTTTACACCGAAATTAGTCAGATCCAACGTAT